TCCGATAATATCACTATATGATCCGAGCTACTTTCTGTTGCATAAAGTAAGGCCTCATATATTGCAAGAGCTTCCGCTGTAAAAATAGAGGTCTGGGAGTTTAACTTAAATGTATGTTATTCGTTCCAACGGGATAAAAAAAGCACATCCAGTGCCGTTTGATGATTTGGAAGCATCAGTATATATAACGACGGAGTTTTTGAATTCTGATAATATTGAGTGAATAATCTGTCTGTTTATGTGTATATTGTCACTATATTTTGGTACCATGATATCTGTATTTGCACAATATGTTGCATATGAAATGTTGTGAAGTGTATACGTAGCTTTATCTATCTCTTTTATTGCTTCCATATTATGTTGCAGAGCTTCGCAGACTAAAGGCGATTTCTTTTTTCCCAGTATTTAGTAGACAAATCATAGCAATTCAAAGTCAAGATCTTTGTGTATAAGGATTGATTTTTTATATATGTCTTTACCAGAAATTTTTCGGACAGGAAGTTTCGTCTGATATTTAAAGGTGGTTCCAAGGCTTCCAAATACAAGGGTTGAATTGGTGTGGACTTCATAGCACCTAAACATATACGTAAAGCTGAATTGTGTATTACGTTAATTTTATTTAGCAATACATTACTGGCTGATCCATAAAATATGCTTCCGTAATCAAGAATGGAGCGGATATACGCTCTGTAGAATAATAAATTTACATCTACATCAGCACCCCACCACGTTTTATTAATCGATTTAAGGAAATTTATTCCCTTGTTGCATTTGTTTAACATATCCTCAATATGATCCTTCCAAGTCAAATGTTTGTCAAGTGTCATCCCTAAATATTTGACCTTACTTTTTAGTGGATATTGATGCTCTCCTAATTTAATTATTTGATCGTTAGGTTTATAATGTCTAGTAAAAATGCAAACCTGAGATTTATTGCAATATAATTCAAAATTGTTTTTATGGAGCCATTTTTGAAGTAGCTGATAGATACTATCCAAGTTTTTAATTGCTGTTTGATATTCTTTGTGTTCTGTGTAAATGCAGAAATCATCTGCATATTGTATGAGGTTGAAGGGTATGTTATTTATTTTAATATTGTACAAGTCCGCTACATACATATTAAACAGGATAGGGCTCAATACAGAACCCTGAGGTAATCCTTTGTTTACGATTCTGGGACCTATGAGCATTTGTTCTTTTCTTAAATAAACTAATCTGTTTGAGTATAGATTAACAATACTAGCGGCAAATTGGGCTGGAATTTGAAATATTCTTGTCATTTTTTCTTTAAGTGCTATTAAACACACAGAGTCATAAGCACCTTCTATATCAAGAAATAATGCTGGTAAGTAATTGTTTCGGGAATAATTGTTTTGAATGTCTACAACTAGGGTAGCCAATGCATCCAAAGTATCAAAACCTTTCCTAAATCCGTATTGTTCTTTGGGTAGAAGGTTCTGCTCTAGTAACCACCATTCTAACCTAGCCTTAATTATCCTCTCTAGAGTTTTTTGTACACAAGATAATAAAGATATGGGTCTGTAAGCTTCAACTAATTTTAGATTTTTCCCAGGTTTGGGTATAGGAATGACAATAATATGTTTGAAGGCTGAAATGTTAGAACCTTCTCTAATTATCTGATTAAAAATATTTAGAAGCAACTCTTTTGCATTATTTGGTAAATTCAGTAGCATAACATATTTGATTTCATCATAACCAGGAGAAGTGTTAGGATGATCACTAAGGGCACAGTCCAATTCTAGCATTGTAAATGGTTTTAAGAGAAAATGACTATGATTCGGATTGAATAACATCAAATCTTCGTGATTGTTCACATATGGTGGTGAAATTTTGTCCAAAAACTCTTCTGTCCACGAATCTTCCAGTGGTAATGGAGCATTGACCATTTTCCTGTTCATCCTTTTCGCTTGATTCCAAATCGAGGTAGGCGATGTTTGTTTATTTAATTTTGAGCACCAATCAACCCAGCTTTGTTTGGCTTTTGATTTCAATAATTTCTTAGCGTGAGCACTTGCTTGTTTACATTTAATAAAATTTTCAACTGATGGATCTTGCTTGTATTTTATTAATGCATTTTTCCTTTCTGCAACAATTAGATCACATTCTGCATCCCACCACGGTGAAGGAGTCCGTTTTTTACACTTAAAGGGTTTATATTGGCAAATACATTGTGTGGAAGCTTTATTGATACAGTCTAATAAAATATTATATTTTTCTTCAGCATTTGGGGATATAGGTCCACTTTCATTTAACATATTCTCGATTATTTCAGCGTACATATCCCAATTGGCTTTCTTAATATTCCATTTACTTTTGGGGTATATGGTCTCATTAATAACTCTTGAGTATTCGAGTTCTATTTTTACAACAAAGTGATTTGATCCAAGTGTATCAGAATCTACAGTCCAAAATGTCTTAGCAAAAATGGAAGGGGAACAAACCGTAATATCAATCATAGAATCTGAATGTCCTGGATTTCCTTGACAAGTAGGTTGACCGTTATTCATCACAATAAAATCAAGATCCTGTAGGGTCTCTACAATTTGATCGCCAATATTATCATTTTTTGATGATCCCCAGAGCGCATTGTGGGCATTCATATCACCCCCAATAATGCAGGGGTGCTTCACTTGGGAAAATAAGTTTTTCCAATCTTCTATTCTGGTTTTGGTTTTTGGACATCTATACACAGAGAGAAAACTCAAGTGAGTATTATCGTAATTAATTTTCATACCACAGGCAAGCAGCTCTTTATTGAAGTTTTTATTTAATTTTAATATTTCAAAACGGATACCCGTTTTTTACCAAAATAGCGACACCAGCAAAACCGTCTGCACGATCTTGACGAACAATATTATAACCTTTAAAATTATATACAACATTACTTTTGAACCAGGTTTCACTTAAAAGAACTATATCAACATCTTCTTTAGTAAGAAAATTGAGTAGGCTGTTTTTATTTGCAACAGCTGATCTAGCGTTCCATTGCATAATTTTAAGTTTAGTGTTTAAGGCCATAAATTTAAGTACTTTTAAAAATATCCTCGAGAACAGTATACAAACCCTTAGCTAACAAATTATTATCCAGTGTTTTTACATCCTCAACTGATTTGACATTTTTTTATAAATTCAGAAAAAAAATTGACTAACGAAATAACTATCTTGTTTTTTTCACCATCTATTGAACTATTAGGTTTATTGGGATTAGGTGGTAGAGGTTGTATCGGACCAAATCTAAAAGGAAAGGTGGTAGAATCTGTAGGGGATTGTGAAACAGGAGTAGACACTTTCCTTTTTTTATGTGCATAATGTTCAGTATTAATCTTACTAGGTCCAGGATGAGCAAAGTTTGTTGATTTTTTCATATACGGTCTTGGAATGGTAGGATGAGATGACGTAATGTCATCAGATACATTAGGTAGTTTTGGAAAATTTTCTTCAAGGTTTGACAATAACGAAAATTTATTATTAGTAACAAATCCGGAAAAAGATGATTGTTTATATCTTTTGGCTTCTAGAAAGGAGATTTTTTGATCTAGCATAATGTTTTTAATTTTTTTTTGTTCCTGATAAACGGGACAACTTTTGGAGATCGAAATATGATCTTTACTTTTACAATGTATACAAAAAGTTTTTTTAGTGTCGCATATGTGACTATCATTTTTAATTTCTGCACATCGTATACAAAATTCTTGTGTGCCCTTGCATTGCTTAGAAATGTGACCAAATTTCAGACACTTGTAGCACTGTATTACCCTGCCTACAAATCTTTCTACTGGCAAATACACAAAATTAACTACGACATAAGTTGGCAAAACATTTCCTTCAAATGTAACTATAATATTTCGTCTGGGGACGTATTCTGTTTTACCGTCTTTATCTACCTTTCTATGCATTCTTTTAATGTCAGTAATTTTAACGGAAGAGTCTATATGTTTTTTTAAATAATCAGTATCATACCTCGTATCTACATCGTGAATTATTCCCTTGATTTCCAAGAGATGGTTAGGGATATAAGGCTTTTAAATTTTCATCCTTTAACTTATTATGTGTTACTAGATGATTTGCATCCAAAATTGATTTTAAAATAACTTTAACTCTATTTTTTCCTATAGATTTAATTTCCTTTAGATTTTTAATTTTAAGTTTTTGATGCAAAATTTTCCCCACAATCATTGGATGTAAACGAGAAATGTTCTGATTATTTAAATTCTCGATATATACGCAACAGCTATGAAAATCATAATTATTAGAAGAAATGTTATAAAGTTTTACTTCCCTTGTTTTGTCAGTTTTATTACCGGAACTCGCACCAATTTCCATGTCATGTTCTGGAGAACTTGTCGCAACACTTAAATCGCACATTTGCATCTTATTGTTATTTTCCTCCCCCATTAGGGGAGGTAAATCACTTATTTTCACAAAAATTCCAAAAATTTAACCGATATATTTACACAAAATTTAAATTATAAATATAAATATTGATTTTTAATCACCGCAAAAACTTATCTGCCGCTTAATGTGATTTTAAGGATCGTCTGTTTACTGTGAATGCTCGCAACGGAATGTTTTTGTGATTTAATTATATAAGAAATAAGAGGCTAATGGTTAGCCACCAAACTCTAGATGTTATTGGTTTTTCAGGATGGTTAGTGGCACATATAGAAGCCACCTCAAAAAATACTTTTTGATGAAAATTTAATTATAATTTGTCATTTTTTATAAAATAACATAACATTTAAACAAGATTTTATTTTAAATTCTAAAAAAAAAGGGAAAAAAATAATTTGTGCGTTAAAGGGTTAAACGATTACTAACTACACTTGTATAGGTCACGGGTGAATAATAAATCAAACAAAAAGGGATTAAGATAAGGTTTGGATTATCTTTTTCAAATCATTATTCTTACTTTGTTTTATATTTTAAATTCGTTGTTTACTACTATTTTCTATTTTGTATAGGCACATTGATATTTGTAGGGACTATACGATTTAATTGGAGCTGATGAGTTAACCATACTTCCCAACATTAAATCTATTTTTAGGATATTGTGCAAAGAACAATCATATTTTTTAACATTATGTTATCATGGTATGGAAACAATAGGCACACATCATTCTGAACTTATAGATAAAGTAAGTATTTAATTATTATCAATTTTTTCTATCTGTATTTTAATTATACTCATCTTTCATTCAAAGAAAAGAAACGAAACGATAAGAAAACTTAAAAAAAGAAAATAAAAAAAGCAAATACAAAAGATTGGAAAATAACTAGATAGGAAAACACAGTAAAAATAAGACGATAAACAACAAATGGGCAAAAATTGTGTTTAAAAAAAATCTTTTTATTGCTATACTATTAATTTAGGGACAGTAAAAATTAAAGGTTTCCAACTTCAATCAAAACAAATTAAAAGAAGTCTGAAGAAGATGTAAAAATTACTTCTGAATAGCAGTTCATGTATTGCTATAGTATCATTGTTTTTAACTCTTTTTAATTATAAATCTGTTAAATATTGCTTTACCAATTTTTCTAAATATTGGTTGTACAACTGAAATCACTAATACTAGTTGCTTAAAAAAAACATAATTATAATCATAAACAAAAAGCGTAATAAAGATATAACAATCATATAATTAAGAAATATCATTAGCAAAGAGACTACCTTAATATTTTCTTAACCCGGCGTCACATACGTGGATTTTTCTGTCATTAGTACATATGTGGGATGTGACAAACCCCAATTTCTAAGAAAATCAGATTTTTTTCTGGCAGTTTTTTTATATGTTTTCTAATTTCATGGTCTGAAGTGATCATCTAAGGACTATTTAAGCAAAAAAGAAATAATCAGAACACCTTTATTCAAAAGACATTAAAAATAAACTAATAATAGGCAATTCTCCATAAGCAAAAACCACAACTTAACTGAAAAATCTTACCAAAAAATATAAACACGATATGATCAAAAATACAATAGTAAATGAAAATCTAATAGTAAGATAGTCTAATAGTAGTAACAACTCTGCCCAGTTGTATAGTGAAAGAAAAAAATTAATCGCTATTTAAATTTATGCAATTTTGACAACTTATGACAGCATGCTCCAGGCACAGTAATTATTCACAGTTTGAACAGAAATATTTAGTTTTTCGATCTCGGCTTCTTGGACATACTGAACATCTTCCCATGAGTTTTGGAATCTTGGCAGATGGCACTGCAGGGGCATCTTGGCCAAAATGTGCGATGTTTTGACGAATACTCCTTGGTATTCATGGATTATTTTTTCTTTCAGATATGTGGTCCTGGATCAATTCAAAGCCCAACATTTTGATAAAGAATCTTCTGGCAAGTTTAAAATCTTGATTGTTTTCTCTGTATATCACCAAAGCATTTACGGCGGCTGTATTCAAGAGAGAAAATACGATCGTAAGAGGCCATCTCCGTGAGTTTCTAGATACGTTATATGATGCAGACAGTTCATCCACTACATCTACTCCACTTTTAGTAAAGTTGTAGAAGCTTATTATTTCTGGTAAATTTTTATCGCCAGTTGCTTCATAAATAGCTCCATCATGGTGCATTGTGGACAACAGTAGGACGTTTTTATTTTTTTCGGCACGTACGATAAAAGTGTAATATCTTTTTGAAAGCCAAATAAAGATGTCATTTTTTCTCTGTTCTGGACTGTCAAAAATTGTGCTGGGATGCATCGTTTGTTCTATCTCAGCGTGCCTACTTACGTAAGTTTATGCTCGTTCAGCAATTGTATCATTAATTCATAACTAGTGTACCAGTTGTCAAAGGTCACATTTCGGTTGGAATCAGAAATAGGTTGTATTAGCCCCTCTACTATATCTATTGGGGAATTACTAACACTGTAGGTACCTTCTGGCTGTTTTACTGCATACACTTCCAAAAATTTAAAACGTAGTACGAACGGGCATCAACTAGGGCTTGCACTCTGATTCCATAATTTGCAGGCTTGTTGGGCATGTACTGTTTGAAAGCACATCTTCCATGAAAAGACTCCAACTTCTCATCTATCGTCACATATTGAGAAGGAGTGTAGGCCTGCTTACAATTTTCAATAAATTTGTCCAGAATTCTTGTCAATCGCCAATCTGTCTTTACGAATCTCGGTGTTATCGAACCGAAGACAGACCATCAGGAATTGAAAACGATTTATAGACATCGTATTGCGGAATATATCGACACCAGTCCCATCTTTTTACCATAAGTCTCTCAAATTCTGACGATTAGAATGAAACATACCTGCTAAATAAGGAAGTCCGATAAATGCTTTAATTTCACATTCATTGGTTGGTTTCACCATGCATTTATTTTGATATGCAATTGATTTTTGTTGAATTTTGAGATTGGTCCAGCGCACTATGTCTTCGATCATTTGTCGGTCAAAAAACAATTGCCAACAATCTAAAGTACGTTTAGCATTTTTTGCATAATGCTTCACACCCGGCAAATGAGTAATAATGTTCTCTGATCTTGTTCGAACCCGTTTATTATTTAAAGTTTGTTCCATTGTATTCTGTCTTTTCCGAGATACATTTCTTCGTTTCTTGGAGGTCCGTCAGTGCTTTTATTTTCCGTCTCATCCTGAAAGTCTGTTTTTGATGTCTCCATGTCTGAATCTCCGTCAGAAACTACATCTTTTATTGCGATATCCTGCTCCGAGTCGGTGTTGTTGTCGCTTTCAGAGATATGGTCAATATATTTCAAATTTATTTCAACTTATCCACGACCCAGCTCTCCAACAACCCCCTGAGTGTCGTATGCATCAGTTTCGATTATTTTGTTTGCCCAATCTTCTCCCCCATGTTCTTACCCTGAAGTAAGCAAAATAGTTCGTTACAGTAGTTGGGAAAGCCCTTAGGATTAATCTAAGACTTTTGTTATGAATAATATCTAATGATTTCAGTGGAGATTTATTAGCAGTGGAAGAGGCAATTGCTCCATAATCTAGCTTAGAACGTATTAAATATTTATACAGGAGGAGTAGAGTTGGATTGGACTCAGTCCCAGTTTTTATTACAGAGAGATCTTAATACATCTAATCCTTTATTACAGGAAAGGATGAGTTGTGAGATGTGATTTTTCCATGTCAACTTTGAATCGAAGATTAAGTCCAAGAATTTGTGATGATCTCTAAACTTCAGCTGTTTCTCATCTATCTATCTCTAGCCAAAAATCTATTTATGTGTTGAATATAGGCCTCTCTCATTTGTTTCCATTTGTCTCTGTCTTCTGTTTGTCTTTTCCTCATGCTGTTTCTCATACATTCTTGGATTAGGAGGTTGTGGCAAAGCTTGAAGAGAATACGATCCTTGAATTGATTTTTCTATTGAAAATCGAAAACCTGTAAAGTTTTGACCAATTTTCGTGAGTATCTAAAAAGTTTTGAGGAATTGACGACACTGAGGAGATATTTTTATATTGTTCTTAGAGATGCATCGTCATTAGAAAAAAACAATGTTTTTTTGTGATTAATTTAAAAAATATTTAAAAATTTATGGAAGTTTGTTGCTTTTGGCCATTCTGCTACAAATAGCGTAGCTGAACGAAATGTTCAAGCCATAAAAGTGACACTAAAAGCTATGTCTACTTATCCATGCATAAGAAAATACAAGAATTTCTTTTTAAATATAGAGCGACAGCAATTTTCCGTAAGAGATTACCATCTAAAATGTACTTAAACAGAAGTTTAAGAATCAAACTTGACGAACTGCGTCCACCAAAACTTACCAGATCAGAAAATCAACCCTCGAGTGCAAAAAAATTAAATGTGATAGAGACAGTACTTACAACTCAGATATTAATACCAGTCAGAAAACAAGGAACTTGGATAGAAATATGGATTGTTACATTACTAAGTTCAACTTGATGATGGCTATTATCTAAAACGTCACATTGAGCAAATTTGTGAAATCATGGTACCTAAGAATAATGTAACCTTTGCAAACGAACGAGAAGTAATTCGTCGTCAGTTACAATATCAAGAGCCTCCCCTACATCGTCTATTGTCGATGATTTTCCTGATTTTCCTGATAATCAACTGTACTCATTAATGCTAAACCTGCTGCTGATGAACGTATTTCTCTTAAAAATTCACCAAAGCAGCCGCCTATGCCTGAACATCCGCAATTAAGAAGATCTGAATGAATTTGAAGTTATAGTTCAAAATTTCAGAATTACTTAATTATTTAATTAAGTAATTTATTACAAAATTTCAAAAGAATTATTTAATTCTTTTGTATTTTTATGTTCAAAATAGCGCGAACAACTTTTATATCCTCCTTATTATAGAGTCACCCCACAATTTTTGCATGTTTTGTTTTATCATACGAATATGTCAATACAGTTAACAGCTGTCATATTATAATTAATAAAACTCATCCAAATATTTGATCGAAAGATATAAGAGTAGTAATAGTCTAGGCGGGATCTGTTTTGGATTGGAAATTATCGAGGGAAGCTATTTTTTTGCTGGATTCCCTTAAGGATATGCCCAGTATCGATAATCACGATATGCGCCAGTCACAAACCCTGTGCTAAATTTTTTATTTAACAAAATCTGAAAACAATTGACAATTTCTCATTTTTTTGTTCCTATTTTCATTTATAATTCGAAAAATATTGATCTTAGAGAAAAAATTATAAGTGGTTAGAAGTTTCGTTATTAAATTTTACACACTATTTTGTTAGCTAGAAATTGAAAATTTAATGGTTATTGTTGAAAAAATAGCAATCATTGGAAAAAAAAGTACAAAAAAATGAAGTTAATCCTTTAAATGTTTTCGACTTTCTAAACTTGACTTAGACTTGACAAGTTCCATATTCCGCCTAGAAAAACTTTTTAATACGTTTAAAACGTGCAATTTTGCAATTTAATTTTTGCAATCCAGCCTACTGGAAAAAAATCGCAAATTTTCAAATTCATAGTAGGCCCCAAATCGGTTTACTAGGAAAGCCTATAAATTGTTTTAAAGTTATAAACATTTTTTAGGCTTATAAACAAATTAAATAACTTTACGAGCTTTAAACATATCAATTTCAAAATGTATACACTTAAAGAACATTAAAAGACGCTTCTTTTAAAAAACAAAAAGATACATTCGG